GCATATAATATTGTAGAGGAAGAGGCAGATAGAATTGTTTAAATGTGACTGGTGTACCCTCGCAGTGCTTACTGTTCACCGGCTTACACAGACACGGGAGCAAATTGTTCAAATATGATTTGATATGACGCAAGTACCCTTGAGGTGCTTACTATTAACTCCTCACAGAGATACAAGAACAAGTGGCCTCGTTTTTAAACAGGGCATCTTACCCTAAAGGTGACGGAGAGACTAGGCCTTGCCGACTAGATTCTGGGGCCAATCCGTTGTGATGCAAATGTCTGCCCAATCAGGGCGGTTCGGTGCGTCATTGCGTTCGTGCTGGTCCCTCTCACTTCCCGAAGTTTGATTTTTACCCATTAATAAACTTCTATTCCTTGAGACTAAGAGTCTTAGTCCCGCGGGCGGACTAAGACTCTTATATAAAAAATTCCACAACAGTTATGCAGTCTTCCTACAACTTCTCTACCCTCACACATTCCAGCTTCTCCAGCCAGGGAGCAGCCTCAGTCAAGTACAAACAGAGCTGAGGCGGACACGTGTCCGGATTTGAAAGCTATACTGAAAAGCACAGGGCATACGCTGCCTCACAACTCATCAATAACGATCTTAAACCAAACTTGAAACATTAAATCTCTCTTAAACAGCAAATGATTACTTTTGCATCTCATCTTTAGGCTTCTTGTACCTCTGCAAACATTTCCATTTGTAAACTTAACTGGTGACTAACTGAGCTATACGTTAAGCTGTATTTTCACCCGTTATGCAAATTCCAGCTCCGCCATCTTGGAATGCATCTCACAAAGGCAGCCCTTGTTCTGCTCAACAACCACATGGACAGGGCATCCACCTGCTGGGGGGCGTGGCTGGAGCCGACCTGAGAGGGACACGAGGCCCACTGAGGACACAGTAACAGAGGACCGCCCTGCCCCTATACAAAAGATGGATGTGGCTATTCTGATGGCAGCTTTGGGTTTGTTGACCACTTTAGAGCCTCCGATTTGTCATTTGGCCATCACCGTCTGGGGGTTTTGGAGCCATAAATCACTGGGATCAGACAGAGAGGACACCGTACGAGTCCACTCGGTATCAGTCAAAGCATGAGCCTGCCTTAGCCAACAGGTGAGCCTCAACATACATACATATGATCAAATCAACTCCCTGTACAGTTTTAATAAAGGATAAACTAAGACTGGAATCAAAACCTTCAGGAACAAGGCGATCTTCAGAAGTCTTTATCCCCCTCCCCACCCCCTTTAGGAGGCTATTTTAAGACTCCAAAAGTGACTCTTTACTATCAAAAGAAACTTTAAAAGGTTATTAAAATAAAAAGCACGTTTTTTTGTTGTGCTGAAAGAACGACACTAACATTTAGGAGGTACGTCCACAGCTCACAAAAGCAGATTTTTCTATAAATGACACTCATCCCTTGAAAAATGGGTAACTCATCCAGCTGCAGCCGTCTACTTTATGAGAAATATAACTTCACTGCTCTGCAGTTAAATGATCGAGCTTTAGTTTCCCACACATACGGCTGGGTCCGCTCTCCACATCCAGTCTGGACAAAGGTGCACGCGTGTGCTCCGCTGTGCAAGCAGAGCAAAAGAAGAATTACGGTAAAATTGTTCACCAAAAGACGTGTTTTCTGGTGCACTTTGATATTTTCAGATGGATAAAAAATATGGACCTCTGCGGTAACCTGGAGCACCTCATAGTTAAGATTTCAAGCTGTGGGGAGGCAGGCCTGTCCCCAGCTTCTGCTGGGGAGCAAATGCAAAAGCTGGGAGTCGTCAGGGTCTCATTATATAACTGTAAATTATGGCCGTGAGAAAAAAAGAGAAGAACAAAAAAAAGCCCACCACACCAAATCTTTCATTTTAGATTCCAAAAACAAACTATTCTGTTTGTGTCAGTGTGTCCACTTCCTGCCTTTGTGCTCAAAATCAGAAGCCCCTGCAGAGCTTTCATGTTCTAACTAGAAAAAGGACCCTGGGTGAACTTCATCGCTGAGTGGAGCTTAACCTGGAGCACTTTCATTTTATGATCTTCTGCCCATATATTTCCTCCCTTCAGTATTCTAACAGAGTCCAGATATACAGCAGAAACATTCGGTACAATTTGACTGTGATGCGAGTAGGAGGGTGATCTAGTTACCATGGTGCAAAAACATAAAAAAATAAAAAACAAAAAGACACCGGGGTGCCGCCTGAGCTGCAGTGTTTACGTGTGCCTGCGCCGTACTCCTCACAATCAAGGCAGGAGCTCCCACAAAGAATATTATCACATTTCCAGCAGGCTCCACCTCTCACAGATCACACTGCTGCCTCCAAGGGCTTGAACGAACATCAAAGGCAGCTGTGGGATTTTGCATTCCTGTCAAGAGCATACAACCTCTGGAGCCCCCCCCCCCCCCCCCCTCCTCACGAAAAGCTCTGCACCACCGGCTCTCACAGCCCAGCAACGATTTACCAAAAACAGCCATGTGTGCCGGGGAGCGGCGTGGTGCAAGAGTCAAGAGAGACGCGGGAGGATTCCTCTGCTCCTTCTGTGAGGAGTCACTCTCCTCGCTCTCCACGTCCCCCCCCCCCTCCTCCTCGTGATGCACGTGTACCTCCCGTGGGCAAGGGGAGGGTGGTGTGAATCTGGAGGCAGCGAGCTCCAGCCCGAGATAACGGCGCTGTGTGCATCGGTGACAGCGTGCTCGGCTGCTCGGCACAAAATATTATTTACAGCTCGCGGTGAGGAGAAATTACAGCGGCAACCCTCTTCAGAAGCAGGAAAACCAGCTGACCTGGCAACACTTAGAGAGAGGCCAGCAGGAGGGGTCAGGCGCTATAATTATTATATTGCTGCTCCTTCCTCACTGTCGGTATCTATACGGCTCACGCGGCGGGCAGGGGATTCAGCCCACAGGTGACAACAGGTTACTGGTGCATAAGAGGATGATAAAGAGGCAGTAAAGACGCTTTAGCATTTATGGACCTGGCTCTGCAGGTTTAACATGGAAGGAGGGCAATGAAACCAGTGGATGAAGTTTAAAAGGGCGACCATTGAGCCGACCGAAGGGAAATGTGCTGTCAAAGCAACGCCGCTGCCAAAAGCACCACTTCCTCTGGCAAATGCATTTAGCGGCTGAAAAACAAAAGCAAAATGTAACACAAATAAGCAGAATCAATCATCTAAAGGAGGGACGGGATCATTTTTCTTCTGTGCCTGATGGGTGCCGAAAGTCAGCCGTCTGTTGGGGTGGGACAAAGTGAATCAGTGGCACAGCTTTGTGAACCACAGATTTTTTTTTCTTTGTATCTAATGACACCACTACAGTCATAGTTCTGATCAAAAGTTGGACCACTCTTGACACTTTCTTTTCACCTTGACTTCAACCCAAACAAGCTCCCATTGATTCTGTAGCCTTTGACTTTGCCACCAAATCCATGACGTTAATGTCACGATTTTAATCCAAATGTCAACCCAATATCAGAAGTGAGGCACCTCGAGATAATCAGCTGTGAAGCAGTGGAAAAACAATCAGAATATTGGCAAAAAAGATGGCATTATGGCAGTTTCATCCAGCTGCTTTTGCACAGGTTAATGGTACTGTGTGGGACCAAGTGAGGCCTAAATCATCATAGTGCAATATCCAAAGAAATTCAATTTAAAAGAGAATAAAGAAACAAAAAGAAGCTTATCTAATGTCTAATTTCACACCAAGCATTTTTAGAACCTCTGCTGATTGGCAGGTTAAAAAGTGACTTCTTTTCTTTTGATTCAATGAGCGGTTGAAAGTGTTTCGATGACAGTTTCCGTTAGGATAACTCTGAAAGCTACTTAGTGAGACGAGTCATTTGATGAGGCCTTTGTTGCTTATATTGGACTGCATATTTTTAGAATTTGCCTTCAAGCACAGAGACGCATGCTCGTAATTGAGCTGAATCAAAGGTTGGTGGTGTTTTTTTGGTTTGTTTGTTTGTTTGTTTTAACAGGCAGGAGGCTATTTGCACTCACATCATTGTGCGCGCGTGAAAACATCTGAGCCGGAGACGTGCTGCCCTCCACATCGGGAGAGCCCGAGCATTTGTCCCATATCCACAAACTTACCAGGAGCAGAGCTCTTTGACTTTGCAGTGTCATTATCTCCTCCTAACTTATTGGCAGAAAAGATGAACATGGGTAATATTCTGAGAAATAATCCATAAGCATGGCGAGGAGGAACACCATTTGGACGTTGCAATGGATCCATACAAATTTATGACTTACAATGAGAGTGAATGAAAGTGACAGGAACAGATGCCGTATGCTTTTGTGAAGAGGTCACTCACCAGTGAGGAGGAAAGAATCTGGGAGTTTATTGGCGAGTTAAAACAGCTGGCTTGCTGATATTAAAAAGGAAAACTCTTATGGGGAAACATGGAGTGGTTTCCTTTGAGGCATGCTGCCTTGAACGCATGCATTTGTTTTTCACCTGTCTATCCAAAGTGATTTCCCACACACAGGTGAGTGAAAATGCTCCAGCTGGGGAGCAGGGATCCTAAAGGATGCAGGGAATCAGGCGACCGACAGGGGGTGGGGGGGAAGACCCCCAATCCAACGAGTCCCACCCTTGTGTTGAGAGCAAATCCAAGCACACGTGTGTAGATGGAGGAAATAATAAGAGACTTGACAGTGACAAACCCCCGAGCAGAAGTATGCGGTATTCCTTTGCCAACATATCAGCACACCGCCTTAGCATGTGAGCACCCCACAGACATCCTGCTTCCGTGGACGGATCACGCCAAGTGAGGCAACAGCTGTTTGGTGTGAAGTAACAAGTTTGCTGCTCGATTGTGTGGGTCCGTTTGGACGTGCCTCCATCGCCCGTTAGGTGGTCAGTTTTTGAAAAAGAAGCTAGCAGGAGCGTCTGGATGCCAGTCATGAGCTAACAGTGTGTGTGTGTGTGTGTCTGTGTCAGTGTGTGTGTGTGTGTGAGTGTGTGTGGAGGTGGGGATGCCAGGCACACATACCAAACGATTCAGTCTTCTCCGTAGCATCCTTCTGTTGTCTTCTTTGATTTCGCAGTACAGATGAACTCCTCTGGTTCCACAGGCACCTCCCGGCTCCGCTTCAGCCTCCCCGGGTAATAACTTTACATGTATGTTAGTTAAGGGCTAGCTCCTTAGCTATCTACTCTCTACTCTAACGTTAGTTCTAGCTATATGGAATGCCGCAGCGACGCTACATCGTCTCCATTTCGTTTGGTTTCGGTCTCCTCGCACCATTCGCATTCTCTTCCCCCTGACTATTTTCCGCGTTGCGGTGTACTAGTCGCGCTTTCCGTTGCTCAAGGCTGAAACCGTCCCTGACATTTCGCTCTGTGCCCTGTTGCTTAGACTCCTCCGAACCATTTGTCTGTCTCAGGTCTGCCTCCCGGTTGACTGGAAAACTCCCCGCCGACGCGGTGGAAACTAACTTCTGGCGGCAGTCGCCATGTACAGGTCACCTCACCTCCCTGTCAAACAATTTTTTACTCCTACAAGCAGCAGCCCCACAAGCGTCCACAGGCTCCACCCGGTGGAGGTGCGGTGACTGCCGCGCGCACTGCTTTATGGGTAATGTGGTCTGGAGTGTCGGCCCCTTGTGGTTCGGACTCAGACTGGCTGTTGCCATGACTGCACTTCGAGTTGAGTGAGCGTCCCACGGGGCTTTGTAAATTAATAGTATGTCTGCTGTTTTCTAGAATATACATATATACATATGTATATTTTTTTAACAAAGAAAGTAATCTCACGCCACATATTGTGTCACATTTCCATAGATTTTCTTTTTTTTTAGGAAAGTGTTTTTCCTTGCATCAGATATCCTATTAATGCCATTTATTGTTTTCTATCTAGTTTATCCTTCTCCTTTTATCTTAGTCTTTAAGGTCTTGAAGGTACTGCTCTGCTTTTATCAATTACCACTGAAATTAGAAATGGAATTCCAGTTCTTGGAATGGATCAGGCTGGAGAAATCGGCCCCAAAAGTCTTGATCTTACCGAATCATCATTTAGTATTTAGATATGCATCTCTGATTGGGAATGTTAGGCAGAAAGAAAAAAGGTGAGGTTGTGTCATCTGATACAAACATGACCAAAGATGGTGTGTTGAGTAAGTGTCAAGACAGACATTTCACTTATTAGATCTTAGAAATCTTAGATTTGTAGAAATGTTAACAGGTGGAGCATTTCTCTGCTACTACAAAGGTGTTGGTCATTACAGCCAAATTCAGAAAAGTGGCACCTGCTGAATTTATAATTCAATTTTGTATGCAACTTATGTTTGAGTTAATCTTACCAAAACTTGCATAAGAGGATTTTGTCTCGACCTCTAATCTCTAAAGCTTCTCATGCTGAGGGGTTTGGTGGCCTAATTGAAAAGCTTATTACCTTGTTTGTATATACATATTTATATTTTCTTTCTGTAGTTTTGCATAAGCAGCCTCAGCAGGCATTTGCCTGTGGCCCCAGGTTTGCATTTTTGCTTGAGTGATTCTCTGACTTTGACTGGAATCAGGTTACTTTGAAACAGGAGACACCAAGCAAGAAAGAGAAAATGGACTTTGTACAATCCACGTTATTAATCCACTGTGAGGTATAAATGTGTGTGTGTGTCTACATAGTGTGCAGTTTGTTAAAGAGAGCAGGAGTGCAGGAGTTTTTAATCTCAGAATCCTTCACTTATTCATTACTTTCCTAGAAAGTTATTGCGATTTGAGGTTGAAATTTGTTTTTAGTTTAACACACACGTTCTTAAACTTGTTCCAAAGACTTGTATTTACTTTATGAGCTTTAAGCCACCAAGTGACGTTTCAAATGGTTGTTTTATTTTTAAAATGTGGTTAAAAGTGCTAATTATGAAGGACAACCATGGTTTTTAGTTATGTTTGGATCATGGGAACATTGTTAGACTCATTTCAGCATCCTCAGTTTGTGCATTTGCTACAACTTGTGTTTACTTAATATCCTGTCATTAATTTAAAATCAAGGAATAAACATATTTGCACGTTTCCAGTATTATTAAGGCCATTAAACATAGTAATAATCCAATAATTACTCAGAAAAGGCGGCCCCCTGAATTATAGTTATTACATAACAAATATTTGAGATACATTACTTTTAATGGGACTTTAACTCCACCTTGTGGCCAAATAAAGCGGTGCAGCCATTTACTGGTTAGACCTGCTTTACCCTGCTTTCTTATGCGGCATTGGGATTTATTTTGTACACTGTAATTCACAAAGTTGTGGATATGAATACGCACTTTTGTCAAGTGTATAGATAATTACCAAACTCCCAGAAACTGGCATCTTGTCTAGGATGCATGCTGCCTTTCATCCACCCAATTAGCAAAAACTGCTTACTCCTAGTCGGGTCACTGCAGCCTGGGGCACACTCTGGACAGGGGCCAGTCCATCAAAGTGCATTCATACCTCTAGTCAATTTAGAGCCACTTAAACAAATTCATTCATTTAAATCCAACATAACGGATAGTGGAAGTATGCCATAATTCCATATCTTATCTTATTATTAGAACTGTTGTAACGACGATACAAATATTTGACCGTTGACTGGTAGCTATAATTCGCTTTGTGTCCACATGGTGGCAGCCCAATAACATCATTGAGCTGTCACACACTTGTTGCTCTAGGGGAGGGAGAAGGAAAAGTGTAGAGCTGATCTATTTCTTTCAAGTTTCTTTCAAGTTACTTTTAATTTAGTTCAATTTCACTGTAGCAAGAAATAAAAGTGTGTGCTCAGAAATGTGGATTATCAGCGCAATAGTTTTGTAAAGGACACAACCCAAGAACTAATTCAATTTAAATGTCTTCATTTGTGAAGGGGATTTTGGAGGTTGCATTTCACAAGATTGAAAACCCTCCAGTGAGCGCTGCTAACATATAAACCAGTTTATGAATGTTTTAAATAAATGATAAGGCCATGTCTAAAAATCCTAAATGTGAATGCAGGTTCTGCACTGACAAATAAAGTACAAATAAGTATGTTTGCAATAGATAAGTATGTTTGCCATAACTTTGGGACAGCATACAGCTGGGTTCAGGATCCACTGCTTTTCCTCCCTTATATGTACAGTATTTCTTAATTTTTCCCTTCAGATGGAAGGGAGGAAAGTGTCATGACTACATAATGTTTTCATTCTGAGAGAATCAGAAAAACTTTGATGAAGTATTAAATCATCACATCATGTGTGATTTTATTACAAATATCAAATGTACGTGCCATCTGAATTCTTGTTAGTTTGTCACGTTTATGCTTGATTTGTTGTCTTAATATGCAGTGCCCTAAAATACTAGACTCTGCATATTGTAAAGCTGTGGATTGACAATACGCACACTGAACTGACTGTGACTCCTTTCCAGTTAACACGTTTTCTGACATGGCCGGCGTTGGCACGCTGCTGGCTCTGTGCTCCGGTGCTGGCTGGAGTGTACAGTGCAGCCGCTGCATTTAGCGGGCATTCCTCTGGTGGTTCTGCCCCTGGCTGTCTGATCCGGAGCACAGAATTTAAACTGACAGCCCCTACAGAGGAGTCGGGAGACTTCCCCAGCCATCTGTCTTAGAGCGACCCCCCCACCCGCCCCCCTTCTCTCCCCTCCACTCATCCCTCATTCCCACACTGGGTCTTTGTCAGCAGTTCCTGTCCCTGGACTAGGCGTGGCGTGCGCAGAGGCTGGGGCGACCGTGGGTGCTTTCAGAGGCACCTGCAGATGGGACAAAGGGCCAAGGGTGCTGGGGCTGAAGACAGATTGATGCTTTGTGCGCTGAGGCTGGAGAGAGCCGGAGAGGGAGAGAGAGGGGGGGATAGTTAGCTGAGAAGTTTTCAGGGAGAGGATTTTAGGGGGACCAGGGGTGGGTTGGAGTAGAAGATGGGAGGGTGGGGTGGGGGAAAGGGGGGCAGGGAGGGTCTGTCACTCCAGTCTGTGTGAGTCCAAGCTTTGGAGGACCCGGAGAGATTGACAGCTTTTGTGGACTGCAACTCTGCACAATGGTTGCACTTTAATGGGCGGTAAAGCTGGAGCGGAGCTTTGGGGACGGTTCGGAGGGGAGGTGGTGCTCGGTCGTGGTTGTGGTGGTGGCGTTGTGGGCAGGCTGAGAGATGGGGGGCCAAAGGCTTTACTGCTTTGCTTGGTGGGGACCAATTCATGGGCATTCAGTCCAAGGCTCGTTATTCACTGAATGCATCCAGTGGAGGAATGCAGTGGCATCAATTAGAATGTGTTAGCAGATAGCAAAGCAGGGAAGAAAAACCTTTCTCTCCCTTTTGCTCACAGGACAACACGGTCCCACTATAGGAGGTGTCAGAGCCACAAAGCCTTTTTTGTGGGTCTCTCTCCATTACATTACCAGTGCAATATGTAAGGTGGGGACTCTTTTGATTTAAATTAAGTGGAAAAAACACTAAATCCTATTTTTATTCAGCAGGGATAATGGTGTTATACTCTATAAAGGTCTTTAACTACTTATCTGTGGCTTAAAATCTTCCCCAACTCCCTTTTCACTCAACCTCAGTGTCTTATTCTCATTGGGGGCATTATATTTATTCAGTAGTGGAGGGTCAAAGACAGACTGTTAAACAAAGTTGCTTGTAGCTTTAACTGCCGCATCACTCCTAATTGTGTATCACTGGGTCAGTGGTTTGTTGTGTTGTCCTTCAGTAAGAAAGGAAGAGCGGATATGAATTTAAACAGTATCTTGTAAGGCATTGTTTGGAGTAGGCTCAGGCCGCCACTTAAGTAGCAGAGAGCCTTTTGAAAAAGGTTTTTTTCCTTTAACTTTTAAGGCAGTGACATAAAAGAAGAGGAAGGAGAATAAAACTGCTCGATGGTGATCACATATCGGGGCTGACACGCCATTCTGTTTCCTGAATGTAGAGAGGCCAGCCGCACATGCCGTTCGAACTAATTAAACCACACTTAATTGAATGCTTTCTTCAGCTTGCGCACACCAAACACATTCTTTATTTGAAAACAATGAAATAAGCTTTCGTTTCAAACAGTCACATGCTCATTTTTTTTGCCAGTAAAGCATTCGCGCAACATTTCTAATTCAGGCCACTTGTGCAAAAAATTTGGAAAACAAGAATCCCAGCGTGGAAGAAAAAGGTTGCTCTCCACGGACTGACTCGAACAAACTGATTCTTAAGTTTTCCATCCAGATACTCTGCAACCATTTTGTCCCCAATTTCCTTGCTTTTAACACGAGATGATACAGATGGCATGTGCGCTGAAATGGGATTGTGAATTTTTGTTCTCCTTAGGTTTAATGAGAACTAACTGGCAGGAACCTCTTGTAGAAAGGTGTGGATTTCAATATGAGCAATTATGGTTCATTTGAAGCCAAATGAGCCAAATTTGCATTCGCTGAAAGGAAAACCAGAGTTAAACTGTATGAAAAGTGCAGTAAATTGGGGCAAACATCGCAATGTGCAGAAATGCATCTCCGCTTTAATTGTGTAATTGTAGAAGAGCTCTAAATGCACGGCCCAATTAAACTTGCTTCTTCTGCAAGGCAAAGAATTGGCAGGTTATTATGCAGGAAAGTGTCAGCACGTTTAAATAGCTTCTTCTTCATGGGTGGGGATGAAGGGTGAGATCATTTGCAGCAAAATGG